AAAAAAAAAAAAGACGACATAACATCTCATGCTTACCAATTCATAAGCGCCATGTAGCGCAATTTCATTCCTTTTCGAAACCTGCGGATAAAACAGATAGGCGAGTTGAAAATTAATTTGAAATGACAGCACTGGTTTGAACGTGACTGAAACAAGGAACAAACGTCATGAAAATGGAGATTTTCGATAAAAAGGTTTTCAGCTGAACACCGTTCTCACGCCGCCATATTGAAATAAATGTAAATAAACGCCTCCCTCCCCACCCCGAATGAAATCTTTACACTCTCGCTGGTGCTGCTGGGAGATTTAGCGGGAAGTCCACGTCAACATTTTTGGCGGCCATCTTGAATGAGTGGATGAACTCGGTAGAGACTACCTAAAGAAATTGTAACATGGGAGCAGGCCAATCTGCAGAAATCCCAGGCGGTGGATCTGAAGGATATCATGTACTAAGGGTAATATAAGTTTAATGCAATCGATTCTACTAACATTAAAATACAGGGTATGCTCTGAGTTATCCTGTACATGTAACTCCGCGCAATTTGTTGATAATACAAATGGTTCGATCCTCTTCTTTTAACGCGGCTTATTTTATGTGGTGTTTTACAGGTTCAAGAAAATTCTCCTGGATATAAAGCAGGATTGGAGCCCTTCTTTGATTTTATAATCTCGATAGAAAATACGCGACTGGTGGGTTGAAGCGAAGATTAACTTTTACCTTGTCCTTTGCAGTGTGGTTTTGCAAAATTCGACGTTACCGAGATCAAAAGTTACAAATGTTGGTTTTGCATTCTGTCGTAGTCGATGTTTCTCTCTCTATTCATGATTTGGTAACAATTAAGACTAATGAATTTTACAAAAAGGCTGATCCATTCAGTTTTACATAGAAACTCTTTTGTCTACTTTTGTAAGCAGCTGTTTTTAATTAAGTAGAGGTAAACCTTACTTTAGAGTCATTTTGAACCAAGAGTATTACAACTTATGAACACTTGCGGGTAAGTTATCATAGAAGAAGTAATTATATACATTAGAGAGACATTAGGCTATCATAGCAGCTAGTAACATTGATTATAGTTGTGGAGTAGTTTTTGTTTAATCTATGTTTGAACCAGCCAAGATTTTAAAGCCTTGTTTCAGGTTTGTTTTGTAAATGGCAAGGCTTTATATTAGCTTGAAACTTGGTTTCTAATGTGGGAATCAGATAAAAGAAAAGAGGATTGGAAAAGGGAAGAAAAGAACACAACCTAGGGGCATATGCTGGAATATGTCAATCAGACCACCCTGTCCATAAATGTAACTCCCTACACCCTATGTCAATATAGGATATGTCAATCAGACAAGGCTGTGCTCTAGCAGCACCCAGCGACTCCTGGTGCCTTATTTTTGCTCTTGGGCGACTCAGGAATCTTAGTTTTTTTCATAAAAAGCATATGCTGGGCACCCTGGATTTCACAGTTTCAGAGCACTGGGCTCCCTTCAGTTTTTCTTGGGGTACAGCCTTGTTAGACCATCCTGTCTATAAACTTAACTCCTTACACCTTAATATCAGAATCCATACTCTCCATACTGTTCTCTATACATTTCCTAAGATGATGATGAGGAGAATCAAGAGCGTCTTTAGTTGGTGATCATTTTCTCAATTCTCATGACCTTGATGTGTGATTCAAGGGTGATATTGCAAGAAGAAGTTAGATGCCAGTCCTTCTTAGGAGTCAAAAGGGTTAAAGAAAAGTACCTATAATTCTTCCAGATAATTTCCACTCCCTGCATCTTTCTACAGGGTGGGCTTGTTCTTTATCAAATTTGCTGGATTTGATTCATAATGCACATTTTAACTTTTCACCTGTTCTTGCTCTAACTTAATATTTAGGATCAAGATAATGAAACACTGAAGGAAATCCTTAAATCAAATGCAGAAAAACCTGTTAAGATGCTTGTTTTTAGTAGCAAAACATGCAAAGTTAGAGGTAAGTTTCTTCAATACGAAAATTATTTTAATTACAATACTCCTCCAAGATTTGAAAGTCTTTCCTTAATTACATCAGAAGGAGAAATAACTTCTCATTAGAGAAAAAGGATTGAGCAAGAAATGGGAATCACAATATTGCACAAAAGCATGGATTATTTTTTTTTAATTATTAAACCATAGCTTCAGTTCACAATCATATTAAACATTTATTTCAACACTAAAAGAAGCTTTCTCCCTTATCTGATTCAACTTCAAGATGTTGGAAATACTTGCCCTTCTATGAAACACAGAATACCTTGATTTGATTCTGACAGGTCAATTATGTATTGACCAATCATAATTAAGGCCAGCACAAGTATGTAAACCCCAAAACTACAAACAAATTGCGATTGGGGTTTTCAGGTTAGTTTTCTGACACTTAATTTGTCTTTTCTCTGAAACACACAAGGCTGGTTATTAGCACAAGGTCTAACCCAAACCAGAGTTTTATGCAATCAGTGGGCCTTAAGCTTTCTTTGTAAGAGGATTGATTTCTTCAAAGAAATGCCCTTCAACTGTAAGCACTAATTTTGACCCTCTTGACACTGTTCCCAAAAATAAATGTTAGGAAAAAGGTCCAGCTAAATTAAGAATTGTTTAAGGATGCAGTTTTTTATTTAAACAACAACTAAACTTTGTCTGAATAACTGGCCCACAGGCATCACATAAATATTTCAGGTGTTCACACTTTGCTGAGTTGAACTGTCACTTTCAAATTGTTGGCAAAGTTGTAGTCTGTTTGTGTTTTTAAATTCATTTCATTTTTTACCTTACAGAAGTTAGTATCACTCCAAGCAGTATGTGGGGTGGCCAGGGTCTCCTAGGTATGTTGATGTCACAAGTGTGTTTGGTTTCCTTAAGAAACCAGCATAGTTTCATTCTAGTCCATCTTTGAACCACTCAATGTTTTTTTTCATATTCCTGTCAAAACAAAGATTGCTGAAACAAAAAATGAGTTATATACACTAATAAATTTCTATACAAAAACAGCAAAGAAAATCAAATCCATTGTTCAGAGCTGCTGTAAAATATTAAAAATATAGAGGATTAAGTTAACTTTCTTTCCAGTTTCAGTCTGTGAAGAAAATTGAATAACAAACAGAAAGGTGGATGCCTTTTTTAGGGGAGAAAAGAAATGAATTTTGGAAATGCAATTTAATTCCCTTGGCACAGAAAGAAAGGAATTGTCAAAAATGAAAATTGAATTTCACTTCCTATTCAACTGGAAGACAGTTGGCTCTATAATGCACAGGTGGTAAATGTAATTTATGTATGAATTGTGTAGCAAATTGTATCTTTCCTTTTGCAGGAGTTAGTATTCGTTTTTGTTCCTTTGAAGGAGCTAATGAAAACGTTTGGCATGTTTTGGTGAGTAAAGCTTGAAAAGATGTTTTATTTTGTAACTTTTTGTTTGAGGTTCAAATGTCTGTTTTACTCAAACCCATTAATTTCATTTTACCTTTGATTGAAGGAAGTTCAACCAAACTCACCTGCTGACATAGCTGGGTTGCGCTCAAATACAGATTACATCATAGGAGCTGATTCAGTTCTACATGAGGTAACAAATAAATGAAAACAATAGATACTTTTTTGAGGAACAAGTCCATCAGAAAGACACCTACGTGTTGCCTCAGAACAACTCCAAACAGCTACGTAATGTTTAATTTCAGAGGCTTGCATCCTTAACAGCATTTTCTTTTTTCCCTCTTTAGTCTGAAGACCTGTTCCAACTTATAGAATCACATGAAGGGAAACTACTTAAGTTATATGTCTACAATTCTGAAACAGATGGTTGTAGAGAGGTATTTCTTTTATATTTGCAAGTTGTGATGTAAATAAACAGTGCCTGAAAAAAGCTTTTTACTTTAGCTGTGATTCTGAATTACTATTTGTCTTTCTAGATAACCATTACACCAAACAGAAATTGGGGTGGCGAGGGAAGGTGAGTCATGTCTTATAATCGCTTTTGTGATTAATGTGCATTGTTGTGGTTGAAGAGGTCCAGGTGGGGACCAAGGGCCTGTTTCTCAATAGTTCTGGGAAATTTACAGGCCAGAAGCTATTTTTTTAGAATAAAAAGTAATGCAAAGTTCTGGCTCCCTGACCTGTCTGTTTTGTTTCTTTAGCTGAAAGTTTTGTTGTACAATTTTCAAAACTTTTGAAACTCTCATCTTGAATGTAGACAAGAACAGCTTTACAAGCCTGATAAGTTATCAGGACCTTTGAGAAATGGCCCCTGGTCAAGTCATTGTTCTTAAGTGAGACAGGAAATATTCACAGTGCCTTTCTCCACCCAGAAGTTTTAATGGGCACAATCAAACTGTCGGAGAAGCACAACAAAATACATGAGGGGGGGGAGGGGAGTAACTCAGGATGGACTGGCATCCCGTCCAAGGGGAGTAGATATGCTCGTGGGTTCATCCTGCTATGGAGAACAAGAATAAATAACAGTAGCTATAGACCACTAATTCCTCCTGCAAGATGTAACTCTTTGGCTTTGATATATCTTGCAGTATGGGATGTGGCATAGGATATGGCTATCTTCACAGAATACCAATCAAAGATTCTCCAGATGTGGCTCTACAACCTAAAGCTTCATCTCCTGCTCCTGATGGCTTCTCTGATGTAAGTGAATTGATGAGTTGTGACTAGTTCATCTTGAACCGAAAAAAAAAAAAAAGCAGATGGAACTTCCCGAGCAGCAAACATTTAAGTTGTCAGGCAAACAGTGAAAAAAGAATTGGTTACTTAATTTTCAGCCTAAATTGCAAAATTTGAAAGGTGTATTTGGAGGTCAAGTTGCCAACTGAAGTGTTTCCATTCAAAAGTTACGCGAGATGAACTTTTTCCCAAAGTATCATTATTGCTGCTCCTTTGCCTTATTCTTTTTAGTGGTTTGAGTGTCAGGTATTAAGTTCAAGTGAGGGCCTCTAAAGACGATAAATGGCCTCTGTCAACTAAAGTTTAAATTTTGGGAACCATTTCTGATCTACTGTTGGAAAATGGCAACCTTGTAAAACTTCACACTTACAGCACTGAGTTGTTCAAACTGTTTCTCCACCCTACCGGCATGTTTACTGCTAAAGTCTTCAATTGAAGCACAACAAGCCCTAATGAGAAACCCTACAGCTTGGTTATGAGTGTTAGAAAGTTTCTTTTGAGAGTAGCATTCGACCCAATACCACAACACTGTGATGCGGCATGTATGCTCTTCTCATACAAGTAATCATGTTTAACTTATTTTTATTTTTATCTTTTGGCCCCAAAGGTTCCTCTCAGTGGACCCACACCTGTGCCTCTTGTTGCAGTTTCAACATCAACAGTTTCACCAATACAAACAGCAGGTAGGTTACTCATGATTTGCTATACAAGCTTGGGCATTCTTTGCACATAACTATCCTTGTTAGACACTTTTTTCACATTCTAATGCGACTCCTTGAGTTAATCCCTTAAACTCTTGCATACAATTTTCTTTCATTATTTTGATGTCCAAGAAGCAAGTACAAAGAGTGAGTGAGTGTGTGCGTGCGTGCGTGTGTGTATAGAAAGATGATGTGATTGAAGTTGCATTTTTCAGTGGAAAATTGTTTTTTGGGGGATCTTTTCTATGGTTTTTTAGTTCTCAGCTTTCTCTTTCTAACAGGTCTGGAGTCAGGAATGACATCCTTGAACCTCAACACAACTGCAACATCACCAGCCATGAACCCATTCAACCCAAGTTTCCCAACCACATCTCCTGTTCCAGCTGCTGTATATCCAGGAGCTGCTCCTTTGGTAGTACCGGGAGGTGCCCCACCTACTGTTCCCTCATTCTTACCTCAAGTTCAGGGTACAACTGCGACAGGGAGCAAACAACCACCACCTTTCTCAGTAGCCCAGATGAATACAGGGGCTGCATCAACAACACCAGCTGGAAGTTCTGCAGTCACTGTGACAGCTACAGCAACACCCCTTATGACTGATATCACTGAGGGAGCAATGCCTGCCCCCTTAATACCCACAACAAGCCCATCATTGCCAAGTGATGACATCTCTGCAGCTTTTCAACCAACGCCACCACCTTCACAACCAATTGCAACATCGTAAAACAGAATAGCCTGAGAGTAATTACAGTCAATAGATACACTAGAAATATATTATCATACAAAAGTGTATTTTGCATGGCTATTAAAATTTTGTACTCTCAGCTGTAGTTATTTTTTTCTGTCTCTCATCTTATTTGCAAAGGTGGCAGTAAGGGTAACCAAGACAAAAATGTATTGCCTACTGATCAGGTGAAGGTAGTCCAATTCTTTCCTTTGGGGGAGGTTTTAATTCTAGCAGTTCTTCCTGGTAGGGGACATTTTCTTTTCGGTAGTAGTGTCTTGAATTTTTGGGTCAGTCTTGTTTTCCCATTCAAAACAACTTTACTACAGAGCTTATGTGATCACTTTGGACAGCTTCAATCTGAAGTGACTTTGTTCAACACAAAATTGTATTGTGCACCAGTAAGTGTGCTTTGACTGCAGATTTTCCTTGTCTGAGTCACTAATCTGAAAATTGCTATTATGATATCTGTAATAATAATAACAACTTGCTAAGAAGTACAGAGAAAAAAAATTTAATGCTGTGGAAGTTTTTTGTAAATCTTAACTTGGAGTGCAACTGACCTGCAAGAATGTCAGTAATATGCAAGTGAGAGAGCAAATAAGTGAAAAAGTACCTATCTAAATCATTGGAGCTTCTCTGTCAAAACTGTTCATCAGTTTGCAAGAACATAATGTTTTGTACGGATTTGAAGGTCAGTTTTTCGTTCAAAAGAGTGACCTAAATAAATTCATCTTAATAGAAATTGACTTTGAATTAAAAGCTAGCGTTAAGAAGTCACGACGTTTCGACCCCTCTGAGGTCATTTTCAAGTGAATAAGTTTTCCAAATCAGCATAAATATGTTGAAGCAAGTTGAAGACGATAAAATGCGGTGAACGCTAAAATTTGTGAAAAAGTGTAAACAGTATACAACGGAAGAGAATAAAAGAATAAAATAATCGTAGCCCGAAGGACGTTTAGTGCTACGATTATTTTAATCCTTTATTCTCTTCCGTTGTATATTGTTTACACTTTTTCACATATTTTAGCGTTCACCACATTTTATCGTCTTCAAATTGCCTCAACATATTTATGCTGATTTGGAAAACTTACTCACTTGAAAATGACCTCAGAGAGGTCGAAACGTCGTGACTTCTTWGCGCTAGCTTTTATTTCAAAGTCGATTTCTAAGAAACTACTTATTAATAGAAATTTGATGTGTTTACAAGAGATAGAAGGTGGATATGTACTTACCTTAAGGAAGTGTAATAAATGGCGAGGAGTTACCATGAGTATTCACAAATTAACTTGAAAAGTTCCCTGAACTGTATGGACTCTTATTACACGACTCGGGCAGTCAGAGGGCCAATAACTAAAATCAACCAATCAAAATGCTCTATTGCCGGTCAATATTCTCTNAGACCTCGGGCCGATATTCTCCCAGTAAGGCCCTCGCGCTTGGTTATTAAGATATATTTATTGTAAACCAATGCATGCCCATTTGTTTCTTGTGATATACCCCTGCTTTCTTGCAATTTTCGTATGTATAACGGTACAGTTTTCTACTCTTTTCCAAGTTGATGTCAGAGCTGTTGTAATTGTAAATTACTACATGAAGATTTTGGTCATTTGTTTCATATCCAATCTTCTCGACTTTTTTTTTTTTTTTTTATAAAACGATGAACTTCCTTCACTTGTGTCAAATTGCCCATAACTACAGTTCTTTTCAGTGGAACTCTGTGGTCTAGAGCTCTTGAAAACAGGAAAATTACGCCAAATGTCCAAATTCTTCACACAAGTTTCTGACCACAAATGCAAGTTTAAGAAATGTGACATGTTGTATGCTTTGGAAGATTCTTCTATTACTGTTAGCTTAAATAAGGCAGTCGGATTTTCTTGTGTGTTTGCCATTTTGTAGCTGTTGGTGAATATACTAATAAATTTGTCAAATCTAACAAATGTTTAGAAATTCGAAGACCAAGAACACAACAAGACTAGCCTTTGCGATTTTTTCATATATGAAAAGTTGGCCTCAATTTTGGGTGAGTTCATCAAGCCAGTCTTCAACAGAAACTATGCCCAGCATATCAAACCTTACTTTGACCACCAGTTGCAGTATCTATTAACAAGGAGGGCAATAACTAAAAGGAGGGCAATAACTAAAAGGAGGGCAATAACTAAAAGGAGGGCAATAACTAAAAGGAGGGCAATAGCTAAAAGGAGGGCAATAACTAAAAGGAGGGCAATAACTAAAAGGAGGGCAATAACTAAAAGCTGATTTGATGAGACAGAGGTGTTGGGAAGACTGATTGCAAAAACTGTGCGTGAGGAGTTCCAGAACTGTAATGATGAAGACAACGCCCCACAGCAACTTTTGTTGTTATCACATAACATATGCGACTTGGTAATTAGTGGTCATTGTATGGTTATATGGTGATGATGATTTATTGATGATGATGATGATGATGATGATTTATTTTAACTCAGCTCGATTTTACAAGGTATATGGGTTAAATTTACATAGCAACTAAATACAGTTCAGCAAAGGAAAAAAGAGAAAAATATCTAGCAATAAAGTAGGTAGCAAGTTAGTATCATCCAAATAGCAAAAGCTAATCTAGTGGATGACCCCTAATTATAAGATACATTTAAGGGAAAGCAAGGCTAAGAATGAATATTTTTTCTTTTTTTTTTTTAAATAAAAAAAGAAATAAAAGTTTATGTTTAGAGCCATTCCCAAAAGATTTCAATATCAGTTTAGTGTTTATTTTCTGTTATTTTGTCCCACCAAAAGCCATTTTTTAAAATTAATTTTGGTAGTTGTCTCGAGCAAAATTACTTGAAATTGAAAACAATGAAACGGCTCAACTTTGCATGAATATCATGATTCCATTGAGAGCGGATGTTTTTCAGCAAGGCTGGTTTCATTGCTTTGACGTTTTCGTACAAAAATAAGGAATAAATTACAAATTACTTTAATTGAAATCACACAGATCGATTCGATTTTGCTGCTCTGAATTTGGTTCGGCAGTCGAATTTAACCTGTTCAACCTTTGAACTAAGCCTTAAATGGCTACCTATGAAATTGCCCAACAGTGTGCGTTTTCAGTTTAATAACACCGATTTTTTCCTAACGTACAGCACAAACAAGTAATCCAATAAAGGCCGAGTTAAGTTAAGGATAAATATCACGCGTGTTTTCAGATTGAGATTGTATTCGCTGGGCGACTCGGGTAATTCTGACTTCTGAAAACAAGGGTGACATTTATATTTAAATTTCACGTCGCCATATGATATTACCAACACTTACATTTTTCTATGTGGTTGAATTGGTACGAATTTCATGAAAGAATGAAATGGTTGTCAAGGGAATGAATTCCGAAAGCCCAAGAGGGATATTTTACAGTAAGATTCCCGCACGGCCCCATCCTTCAATATACATAGAGTTCTTGGCGAAAACGATGGATTGCCTTAGGGATTATGCACCAATCAATGTCTTGCCCCAACGGGGGGAGCCCGGGCACACACGGGCTATTGACAAAATAACTTTGCCTGGGGGAGGGGCTGTAATCTTTTATTGACACAGGGKTCACCCCAGGGTAGGGTTTATTGACCATTTCATCAGAGAAGGACTGGGAAAGACAGAGTCAAGTTGGCATATATCAAAATGGCGGCTTTCGCGCCAACTACGTCAACAGAAGTAAAAAAGGTCAGAAAAAACTTAAATACATTCAGCTTGTTTATTTTTCATTTTTTAATAGCCAGTACAATAAGTTTTCATTCAATGTCTACACATTCTGTGCATTTATAAATAGGAAAAAAAGTTAAAGTTGAAACTTTATTTGACAGTCTCGCTCGTGGCATACTCCTCAACTTCTGTTGAGGAAATATCTCTCAGTGTCCTGGTATTCCTTAGATAAATAAAACATGTATCTTTCCTCCTTGTGTGGGGCCCACTGTCATTCTAATAAGGCCCCTCAGAGGGGCTTATTGACAATTTTTTTTCAAAAATGTCAGTAGCTCCTGGGTATGCCTGGGCTCCCCCCCGTTGGGGCAAGACATTGATTAGTGCATTACGGCTTCGGGCAAGAGTTCCATATAACCCCATACATTAATTATGCATTGAGTGTTACCAAGAAACCTTTATATTTAGTCTTTATGAAATGGAATGCATAATTAATTATGGGGTTATATGGAACTCTTTACCGGCTTTGTTTTAAAATGCTACGAGGTTGTGTGGAAATCTTACCGATTTCGCATTCACGGTCGATCGTTTAGAGCAGTTTAGAGGCAACGTCTAATACTACGCTCTGCCTCTGATGGAACCAAAAAAGTTTCTCTTCTAACATTTTCAGTCTTACCGGTCGAAATTCAGTTAACATGAGCTTTATTCCGCGGTAATTCACTTCCAAATATGCTTCTCTTCAGTCAGGTTATCGTCGTTGTTGTATCTCATGTCCGCCATCTTGAATCATTCCCATAGTGCACTGTAGGGACAGAGCATAATAATAAAATGCTACGTGAGAGGATATGCGGTCAACAACACGGGTTCAAGTGTCCCCGGTCTTAAAATTTAGCGAAATTAGCGGAATAATAAGGGCTGACTTTTAAAACCGAGGAACTCTGTTTTCGTCGAAGGCATTTTCCTATTTCCAGAGGTTTTAAGGAGAAAATTAATTTTTGACAATTTTTAGGGGGTGTACCATGGTTTTGGAGGTTGTTCTGTAAAAGAAAAGTGACAAGGAAAACAACGCTTCGAAGCAACAGAATAGGAAATCAACCATGCGAACGACTCAAAATCCGTGTTTCCGCGGCAAAACCTAGCGCATAAGTATACGCTATTCAGCTCTGTCCACTGTAAGATATATAGAGAGCGTCGTACGCGCATGACTTCTCGCCGTACCCGCGTGACTTCTCGCTGTACCCGCGTGACAGTCTAAATCCCCGGCGCCACCTAGAGTCTATCAGTCAGAGTTACACCTTGAACGTTTGCTCCTCATTGGTTAAGTTTAATTTTTTTTTTTCTTTCACCCATTATCACTCTCATTTGTCTTTTTTTACGTTATCTTTATAAAATCACTTTTGACTTGTTTGCTCGTCCAAATGTGTTACCTAACTATATTAATCTTTATCAAAATTGGGTGTGAGAAGTACAAAGTTGACAAAGACTTATTTGAGGTAAAATGTAAAAACCGGTGAGGAATTACCACAAATTAACGCGAACAATTCCCCCTTTTTATATAGAAACTAAATGTTTGCCAGTGCGCTTTCTGTTTCATCGCCGTGTCGCTCCTGTACTTCGCTCGAAGTTCCTTGTGCGTTCCCGTAGCTTTGCCGCAATTTCTTGCCTGTATGTGTACCGTTTTCTGCTGCGCTTTTCCAAAATGCATCAGCAATATCTAAGGTATGTATTAGTTGTTCACTATGGCCGTGCAAACAAATGAAGGATAAATGGTCTTGCGTCGTAATCCTTAGCAGGCAGACCTGCTGTCGCTGTTGCATTCTTATTACAGTCGTGGTTTCAATGAGAACAAACTAAAGAGCTGCAGAGCGCAGCTTCTTCCCCTAACCACAGTAGTCCAACGATCGGTCAGCATTTAGTGACGACACCTTGCTATTCTCCTAGACAACGTATGACCGATCTGAAGAATTTAAACAAGACCTTGAATCACCATAGCCCCTTCTTTGTATGATGATAATGATATACATAAGGAGTGCGCAAGCGCTCAAACTCTAGTCCTACGCTGACAAGCCGGTCCATTAGTATCCAGTCCTCCCCTCCCCAGGTGTTTTTATTGATCCCGAATCCCCCGGCACGATCCCAATCCGACTTGTATAATCCTATTATCCCGTAACCATACACTTGCCACAGTCCGACCAAGTTTGCTGGATTAGCACCACAAGCCAATTGAACAATGATTGGCGTGTACACCATTCGACCTTCGATGCAATGCTGAGAAGAAAAATAGAACATGAAACGAACCATTAAACCACTGAACACTCAAAATCATCTTCGTAATCGTCCCCTCCAAGAAATCAGTAGGGAGCTTTAGCAACGACGACGGCGACGGCAACGACGACGGCAACGGCAACGAGAACGGCAGAAAACAATAGGCTTAATGAACAAAAACAATCGCCCTGCACGTGCGTTTAACATTTTGGTACATTTCTTTGCCGTTCTCGGCAAAACAACGTAAAATAACCAAACTTTAGGTTTTCTCGAGAACGTGAGCGCATGACGGTTAATTTTTCTTTCTTTCTCCTTACTTTAACGCCGTTCGTAGTGATATAGTCCCTGAATAGTTCGCCAGCATTTTCCAAGTGAAACACATCGGAATAACCTCGAAAGAGTTACAAAAACGAAAAGTTAGATTTCGACACGACGTTTTCGTTGCCGTCGCCGTCGTCGTTGCTAAAGCTCCCTA